TCTTCACAACAAAATTCAAGCCAACGAGTCAGTTAAACTTGAATTTGGTTGTAAGAATGATACATTTCTCTGATGATGTTCGTCACATGACGGACGAAATTTAGCACCTTTTCACCGGAATTGTAGGAGATTGCCTCGGAAACAGCGTCAGCATGAATCTTCCGGTAAAGCCAATCGACAGCTGGTCAAGAGGAATCCGCCGTCGTTTTCTGGTGGAACCAATGGTGAGATGAACCAATGCATCTCCTCAACGTTGACTTTCATACAAAATGAAAGTCTCCAAAACAAAACTATAGCCGACTACTTCGGATAAAATGTGCTCATCTTTGTCACACTGGCAACACAATCAAATATCGAAAAGATGGTCAAACGACTTCTAAAAATGTGTGTTTTAGTAGGATTACCTTGTGGGCTACTTTCGTCCTATGACCCACTGGCACCGGTGGCTATGTGGGTGCTTTGGTTTACATTCCAGGAGAGAGAAGCGATGAAATTCTTTTTGAGAGAAGTCTTTAAATCACCTAAAGTGACCTCAAGTGAATAAAGTTATTATTTTTCGTCTTGTGGCGATAAAGGACTGGAAGTTGTATTTTCCCACAATCAAATGAGTAGGCCTCATGCTTCCATTGAATTTCACACAAAGTTATCCTTTTTCGGACTCAACTGTACCGCAGCCTCGACTTCTCCAGAACTGGTCTCGTCAGCACTCCTAGCCGGACTCAAGCCTGGCTTTTAGTGGTGCAAGTGTAATCTCGCCTTTTCGCGCATCACATTTTGTGGTGGGATTGTCGATGAAGCACAGTTGTATTTGCAATTGCTGTCATGGCACTCGTGGCGGTGTGGCGTAGTCGGTACCGTATCGAGATTATGCGCTGCACTAACTCAACCCAGGTTCGAGTCCCACCGGAAGGAAGAAAGGTTACGTTAAATTGAACAAGGAAATAATGCTTACTCATCTGATGTTAGGGAAGCATGGTAACAAATTTGTTGTATATAAAGTCATTTGGGCTACTTTCGTCCTGTGACCCACTGACAGCAGTGGCTATGTGGTTGCTTTGGTTTCCATTCCAGTTGAGAGAAGCGATGAAATTGCAGTCCGGTCGGAATGAGCAATTCTTTTTAAGAGTAGTCTTTAAATCAACTAAAGTGACCTAGAGTGAATAAAGTTATTATTTTTCGTCATTAGCATGTATTCACCTTATTTCGTTGGGGCGAAAAAGGACTGGTAGTTGCATTTTCCCACAATCAAATGAGTAGGCCTCATGCTTCCATTGAATTTCACACAAAGTTATCCTCTTCCGGACTCAACTGTGCCGCAGCCTCGACTTCTCCAGAACTGGTCTCGTCAGCACTCCTGGCCGGACTCAAACCTGGCTTTTGGTGGTGCAAGTATAATCTCGACACGTTGCCCTTGGTTCGCAGGGCCTTTTCGCGCATCACATTTTGTGGTGCGATTGTCGATGAAGCACAGTTGTATTTGCAATTGCTGTCATGACACTCGTGGCGGTGTGGCGTAGTCGGTACCGTATCGAGATTATGCGCTGCACTAACTCAACCCAGGTTCGAGTCCCACCAGAAGAAAGGTTACGTTAAATTGAACAGGGAAATAACGCTTACTCATCTGATGTTAGGGAATCATGGTAACAAATTTGGTGTATATAAAGTCATGTGTTCGTAGTAAGTAGGTTTTAAAACTATCAGAAACTCTTGAATGGGCATTATATTCACCCTGTGCTGTCTTAGGGTATGAATTCATAATGGTTGAATTTTCCCACGATCAGGAGGTTAAGTGGGACAATGCATTTCTTAGCAGAAAGGCTGTTGATTTCATTGAAAACATGAGTCCTAGCCTGATGTCGGTGTGGGAAAAATGCAACCTTGGACAAAATGGAATGCATACAACTCTGGTGAACGTGTGTTTGTTGGTCATTCGCGAACTGAGCCTGTCGCCTCTGAAGGTGTCTCCTCCTCCTCCTCCTCCTCCTCTCTTGGCAGGTTGAGTCCGGCCAAACCAGCTTCAGACTGTCTGGCCATAATCAGGCCTTTGAGGGGAGCAGAGTGTCCGGTGTTAGTGAAAGCGGAGTCTACAAGTCGAGAGGCCATCTTCAAGCGCAGCTTTTCACCTGTCTGGAAACACACAGACAGCACACTTACCCGATGGCCTTTTCACTCGGTGAATCGGCAAATACCTCGTCACACTCGAGTCGCCTCGGCAACACGACATAAAGGAGTATTTTGCCAAGTTCAACAGCCTGTTGGCTTGAAGTGCCCCTTTTTAGTCGTCTTGACTACTCCAGACGTCGTCATGCCTGTGCTTGTCTTAAAGTGGACACCATCCTGTTGCCGGGCGTTGGGGGGACAACTAACTCTCGAAAGACTCCTGAAGCGTGTGCCGATCCTCGCTCGTTTGTACATTCATTCTCTCGTCTCGGTAACCGAGTGAGGGTGGCTTAGCTGATTGCCTCAGGGCGGATGTTCTGAATAACTTTCCGAGGATAGGCAAAAACTCACCTTCTCCATGATCCCAACAGGCGGGAGTTTGTGACGACCCAATCGTCTGTCAGAATCACTGACAGTCTTGCCGCCCAAACAAGTTCATTATGTCCAGATTGTCATTATGTCGGTGAGATTAATTGGCAATCACGTCCAAACAGCATCAGCGGATTACATCATGTGCCCACTTTTCACAAGTGATGCCTCCCAGGCGACAGTTGAGTGGGCCTTAAATCGCGATTGTCGAAATTCCTTCTATGCCCATCGAGAAGCCTCCCAAGTTGGTCAGGATGCATTTCTCTAACCTTCTTCCATTTTGCTTTATTGCCAGTTTACTGTTCATCTCGTGGAAACAGGTGGTTGGAAAGAGTTCGCCAATCGGTCTCTCATCAAAGAAGTCGAAGCTGGGAAGACTGTTGAACTGTTTGAAGAAATCCTCGGCGCACCATCCTGCCAGCCCGATGCACCCGTCATATCGTTTCGTCTGTACCGCTGTGACAGACATTGTCACAGCAAAAAAGTAGACTCTACGAAGAAGTGAAGCAAAGATGGCCGTCTACAAATCTTGCAATTCTAACGGGTATCCCAGAAAATTCGGTTGGTTACTCAATATGCTTACATGAAATGGAAACTTTTGTGCGATGACTTCACTCGTCGGCAAACGAGTAGAGTAAGTTTGTGGTAGCCAACCAAGTCATGCGATGCCTCATCAATATGACAAGGTTAAGTGTATAAAAGAACAACTCTCTTGGTTTGGTATGTTTTAGCTCTATTGCGTAAATGGAAATGGAAATTGGTAATAGCTTTTTCTCTTATTTTTCGTAAACTCTCTAAACGCAGCTACGCTTCATATCTAAATCCCACCGAAGAATGTGATATGGGAAAAGGCCTGACCCTCCTTGAAATTCACATCTGCTCTGTGACCGAACCGCTCTCGTGGCAGTGTGACTGCACTATCATAATTCGAGTCCGGCTGGGAGTGAGGATCGAAACCCCAGCACATCCTGTATGAGAACAGCTTTTTGTGAAATTCAACAGAATTGAATGGTCTAGTCGCATCAGTGTGGGAAAATTCAACTTCCGGTACTTCATCACCTTAAACGAAACAGGGTGAATACAACTCATCATCTTTTGAACGGATTATTTTGTGCACGGTATTGTGTATGGTATGTCATATGATGTGTGATGGCCGCAAACCAACAAGCGTTTATGCAAGTCTCCTCGTCTTGCTCAATTGTCCTTGCTGTGGACAATTTAACGGCATTTACTCCTCGAAAAAACTGGCAAGATCAATTCACGAATTGCCTCTAACCCACTTTACCCTTTAAAAGGGAAGTGGAGCCACACAAATTGCCCACAGGATTCCTTAAAACCCAAATTCTTTTCATTCATCCATCCCCTACCACATTCACCAATTCACTTATTGACTCAGATTTGCACAAATATTCATCTTAGCAACTTGTCGACTGGTTGACCATTTGGTATGGTTCAGCGAAATGACAGTCATTCAGCATTCGGTATCTTTCGCGGTCGCAACGAGGTGTGATCGCCAGGCTTCCATTGCCTTAGCGACAAGTGCTCACGGCAACTCGTCGACTTGAAAATGAGGAATTCGGATGAACTTTCGAGTCAGCCCAGCCAATACACTCACTCA